TTCCTCCATTTCCCATTCACCCTCATTTTAAGAATATTTCATCTTAAAAATAAAACCTCAACACTTAGACCTTACCCCTACCCTGGAGGAGAGAGAGGTTGTTTCCTAAAAGTCAAAAACTTTGACAATAGAATAGGTATGGAACAAAGTAGGAGAGGCAAATGGGGAAATGGGGTAAAACCAGTTGATTGTTCACCTGCTGGTTTATGGAGAGAAATTATTACAGCCAAGAATTTGTTTGAAGCTGTGCAGAATGTCCATTTATTCTCAAAAGAGAGCTCTAAAAGGATTCAGAAACAGAAGAAAACGAGAACTGTTGGATTCTTTGATATCTTCTGCTTGTTGAAATTTACATTAGAAAATGCTTCATCGTTATGAAAGAGACCTTACTTAAGGAAAAAGTGGGCCAGTAAAGATGTGAAATTATCTTATGAGCGTTACTAGATAGGGGCCTTCACATATGGTTCGATGAATGGTCCCTGGTTCTTGATTTTACAATTACCTGAAGTCACCATCACTGTATCTAAACAAGTTCTATTTGCTTGACAAGCAGGGGTTCGGCACCTTCATTCTGTCTATTTCTGTTATGCACTCATTCCTAGTTTCTGCGGTAAAGATCCATGTCTCTTATGCGTGGATGCATGCCGCATATTATCTGGCTGCCGAGCCAATTAATGGAACCTCGTGCTTTAGACATTTTTGAATTCTTTTTGGGCCCGTTGGGATGGAGGGACTTAATATGTTTACTTTAGGTCCTATGCTATCTAAGAGTCTTTTAGCCCTTTTAGAGATTCATATGCTAGTAGGAAATATAGAAAACTTCTAGTACTTTTCATTTTTATTTGTATTTTGTGTAAAATATTGGTTAGAGATGAACTTAAATGGGGAAATATAGTCGGTGAAGATTCAGATAGACGACCCCAACTTATTTGGGTATGAGGCAGTGGCGGAGCCACATTCAACCCCTTCGCCGGAAAATTACATTGTATTGCTAGATAATTTTTTCTATTTTATGTATATTTACTATACGTTGACTCCCCTAAATTTTTTGATATATATATATTTTTTTATTTTGACACCCCTGGTACGAGGCATAGTAGTAGTGGTAGTAGTAGTAGTAGTTGTTGGTGGATGGAGGGACTTTCCTACCTATTTCAAAATCATACCCTTAAATATTTTGCTCCTACTTGGATATAGCTAAGAAACTTTACTTTTGGAATATTGACTCATAGGACAGTTGATTTCGCCTTTAGTCTGGATTCATAGCAATGAAGGTTTAAAAATGTCGTTTGAAATGTTCAACTATCCACTTATCAAAAAAAAAAAAAAAAAAAAAAAAAAAAAAAAAAAAAAAAAAAAAAAAAAAAAAAAAAAAAAAAAAAAAAAAAAAAAAAAAAAAAAAAAAAAAAAAAAAAAAAAAAAAAAAAAAAAAAAAAGAAGAAGAGAGAATTTCAACTTTCCCCTCTCAAGTCCAGATTTCACTCTCCAACCAGGCCTCTGTGTATTGATTGTTTTTTTTTTACATGTACAGCAGTATTTCCAATATCCATTGACGGTAACGTTAGTACATTCTAAGTTTTGCGGCGTTCACGGTTATTTTACCAAGTTTTTCAGCATGTCAATCCTTTCCTCGTCCATGGACCTCCTATTATAGGAGATCACTATGCGTCATTTAGTACATGTATCTTGCTTTATCCCTTATCTTTCCAATATTATAGAATACTTGGTATCTTGCAGTTATTTGATTGCATCAATGGGGCTTCAAGTACTGTGGAGCTTTGGACTTGCTTGTCTTGATGTGTATGCTTTGAGGATAAAACAGGATCTTCATAATCCAGTCTTAGTGAGCCTTTTTGTTGTTGGAGACTGGGTATGTACTTCTCAGATTCCTTTCTCTTCCTTTCTCATGTAATGTGTCTAACTCTGACATATATAAGCAACTTTCCTTGTATATAATCCCCCTGATTTTCTTTTATCCCTGAAAACTACATATTTATTTCCGTCCTCGTTACAACTTTTACTAAGTTGCTAAATTATTTTATCTCTCTAACTCCCTTGGCATCGACAAGAAGGTGATCGACTTTTTGTGCCCGCATTTTTAGTTATTTAGGAGTTATACATGCTTGAGGGTGCTGTTTCTTGCTCTCTTGGATGTCACAGCAGATATTTTGGGTCCAAACTCAGATTAGGGTGCTTTTGGACACTGAAAAACAATCTATGGCCGACCCAATTTGTTTGGGACTGAGGCGCAATTGTTGTTGTTACACTTCGAGAACTGCAAGTCCCATGAAGCGCCAGGGAACCATGCTTGGATTTTTATCCTGCACTTGTAATTATCAAAGATTGACCTAAGCTTCAAGTAGCATTGCCTGCCTTATGATGTGTGCTAATGCAGCATACTCGTGTTCCACTAAACATGGCATTTTTGTACCTTGTGGACAGTGGCGGGTCCAGAGTGCAGTTACTGAGTTCCCGTTTATAAATATCTAACTGTGAACCCAGTTATTATTGTATATTAATTTGAGATTACGAAAGGAACCCATATACTTTAAATCTTGGATCCGCATATGTCCTATTTACATGATCTGATAATGTTAGGGATCCTCCCTTTTCTTTACTCTTTACCGTAATGTTGTCCCTCTCAACCTTTTTCTTTTCACAACATTGAATAAAAGCTTCTAGAAGAGTTAATATCTTATACTACAATGTTATGGCTACGATTCTGAAAGCCTTGTCACGAGAAATTCTAGTTTTACTTGATTGACATGTTGGTAAATTCGGATATGATTTGCTTGGCATTATTATGTGAATATTTGTGTTGACTGGTTTAATTGTAATTACAGGTGACAGCAACTCTATCACTTGCAGCTGCATGCTCGTCAGCAGGGATTGCTGTTTTGTATTCAAAGGATTTAAACTTCTGCAGTAGTTCATCACATCTTCCATGTGGCAGATTTGAGCTCTCTGTTGTCTTGGCATTCATAACCTGGTTTCTTATAGCCATTTCTTCGCATGTGATGTTTTGGATTCTAGCCACAGTTTAACATTTTAAGCATTGGTTGCCCTCACAAGATTATTCCAGTCGTGACCTTAAAGGACCAGTCACGTGTAAATCTTGTAACTGTATCTTCCTTAGTGGTCGTACTGGAAATTCTTCTGAACTGGTTGATTGCTTGGAAAACCTGCCACTTAACACTTGAACTTGTTCGAGTTCCATTTTGATTTGAGTGTAAATTATAAATCGTATTTTACTTACTGCAGTTCAATTGCATTCAGGTCTAGTGCGAGTCTTGATAGTTTCAGCTTAGCCATATATGACCTGGACATTTGAAAATCAGAAGTTGAATGCCATTGGACATTGTGATAAAGCACATTTCTTTCTTTTATGTGTTCACTTTTTGCTCACATAACATTGAGGTTAGCTTTGCATTAACTGAGAAATTCATTGATTTACACTCATTAATTGATCATAACAAACAGTTCAATCCACTTGAATCAATTGGTATTCCACTTAATAAGTGATGCTTATAAACTGCTTTGCGATAGTAGTAATAATGCAACCATCTTTTTCTCAATGGCATGTACTTCCACATTACAATCCATGAAAAGAAAGGATACATAACATAGAACTGAATCACCTCTATGGAATTCTAACATGCAGCCAATATCATTGACAAATGGAAAAAACTTGAACAGATAAGTATCATACAATCAATTTTTGTTCACATGACAATCTCTGGCTTCAGAATGCTGGATTTTCTCTTTGTGCGGTAGAACAACACCTCCATTACTGTAGACTTCATCGCCAACATGAACATCTTCTCCCAAGATTGTCATGTTCTCTACCCGAGCCCATCGCCCAACAGTTGAATGCCAACCAACAATGCTACTTGAGACACATGCGTGCTTTTTAATACGTACACCACGCATTATGGTACAGCGTGAAAGCCTAACTCCAGATTCAATAACACATCCAGGACCGATAGCCACATCTGGGCCAATAAGACATCCATCTCCTATTACAGCACTCTCGTCCATTAATACGTTTCCAAGAATATGGGGCCCAACAGCCAAATCCGGCGAGGACTTTTTCCTCAAGGAATCCAGGTATAGTCTCAAGCCTGTAATGTAATCCTTTGGCTGACCAATGTCCATCCAAAACCCGGGTAGAACCATGGCATGGAGCTTCTTCTCTGCTGCAATGCTGGGGAAGACCTCCTTCTCAATTGAGGTGGGCCTTAACTGGATACGATCCAAAACAGAAGGGTTCAACAAGTAAATTCCAGCATTGATCTTGTTACCCACGAATATTTTTGGTTTTTCTACAAACTTTTCAACTCTCCCAGTCCCTTCTTCCATGACCACCACACCATATTTTGATGGTTCATCAACCTAACAGAGAAAATGAGTTACAAAATTATTTCCATTTAATGGATACAGAAAAGTAAAAGATACAAGGAGTTTCTAACCTTCGTAACCATAATGGAAGCTTCCCCACCATGGGATTTGTGAAACTCAATCATTTGTTTCAATGGGTAGTCACATATAACATCACTATTGAGGACGAAAAAGGGCTCACCAGAGTCATCTCTCAATATATCACGAGCTAAAGCCAATGGGCCTGCTGTGCCTAAAGGCTCTGTCTCTTGCGAGCAAGTGATCCTGATATCTAACTTTTTCTCGAACTCTTTTAGGAAGTTTTGCATTATCTAAAATGAAAAGGATAAAGAAATTTTCCTTGTAAGAAGCATTGAATAGTTTCATAAGAACTAAATTTTCTGGTAACTATGGGGTTTAGTTTTACCTTCGGTTGGTAGTTAATTGCCAAAACTACTTCAGTCACTCCAATTGCTTTTAGTGCTTCAATCTGGTTAAAATTAGATGTACAACAACTCAGGCATAATATGGCTTCCTTTAAAAGCTTATGTAGTGCTCTAGTACCAATAACAACAACAACAGCAACTACGTCTCGGTCCCAAACAAGTTGGGGTAGTGTTCTAGTACCGATGGAGGGCGAATATGCATTATTTTGATTCCCAGGCGAGGTAAGTCCGTAATATTTGTAGATCATGGCAACATACATACCCAACTAGCTATCAAACAACGTATGCCATCAGGAGAATAGAAGAAGCGAGAAACTAACTGAATGAATTTGATTCAACATGCTACTAATACCAATAGTAAGATAAAGTTCAATATAATAGAAAAACAGGGCGTGTTTTAGTCCAAAGGATGGGGGATGAGGCTAAAAATCAAAAGTATGAAAGAACGACAAAATAATAGAGGAATCAGGAACTTATGATCCATCATAAACAGAAGGGAGTGTGGTTGATGAAACAAAACCTGATGCAGTATCATGGGCTTGTTAGCAAAGTCAACTAGGGGCTTTGGCACGCTGAGGGTCAGTGGCCTCAGCCTTGTTCCAAAACCACCTACGAGAATGAGTGCCTTCATGATAAAAACCAAGAGGCTGCCTGCATTAGAAAACCAAACATCCAGAAATAACCATTGGTATCATAAAAAATAGTAATGAAAAAACTAAGGAGATTGAGATGAAAACAATTCTCCATGGAATGTGGGCATTCAATCAAAAGGAAAGAAAAGATTCAAAACTTGACAGTAACATTCATTGATCTAGCACAAAAACGTGCCCAAAAGTTAGAGACGGCTTTCACGAAAGTGTTGATGGAACTTGACAAAGTGTAGGGCAGAAGATAAACAAAGCGAAAGAGTATATAAAATTAATTAAGAGGTTAATTCCAGCTTCAGAAAGTGGCAGCAAAACATCCTAGCAATAAAAAAAATATAAATGAAAATGTATAGCAGAATTTGTTGGTCACTCACATTGTGTCGTTGTCTCATGTATGAGATTATGAATGAAAATGTATCTTGAAGAACTCATGCAAAGTAGGAATACTATATCATATTTATACCGGTAGTGTTTGGGCCAACGAAGGTGCACCTTAACTATTCCATCGGATACCTGCTACTTCCAACCACCAGAAGTTCTAAGTAACTCTGTCCTCCAAGGTTTAGACGAAATCACCAAGATTTTTTTGCCTCTACGGGGATTCGAACCCTAGCTTCCCATGGTTTTCATCTCATTTAGTTGACGGAGTAATATATACTATCATGGATATGTCTTATAAAAATGAAGTGTGTACGTAATATAGGTTGGGCAAACTAAGAACAGTTTGCAACACGTGACTATTCCTACATAACTAATGTCACTAGTTCATCTAGAGTATAATTGTGCTTTGATGATCATTTTCATATATCTGATTAAATTGTTTCTTCACACAAAAAAGACTAAATTATAAAGCTAAGCTGGTAGATCTGTTCTCCATGTCTAGTAAGATACCTACTATGACAGACACAGATAAAGCTCCAAACGTTATCCATCACTATGCAGATTTTGGCACTTTATCCCTAGCACATAGCTCTAATGCCTTTTTCTCCTCTTTATCACTTCCCATTCAGATCCACAATGGAGAGCTCCCCTTTTTCAACCAAAGTTTGATGCAGATCTAGGTGGATATAGTGTATCGCCGGGTTCATCTGAACATAGTATTTTCGACGCGGAACATAAATTTGTGCGTAAAAACCTACTAAAGTTGCAACAAATAATAGATAACAACCTGTAACTCATAGAGCTTAAATTCTGGATCCACCTCCGGTTAGCTGCTCAACCATGTGACTGTTAACCATATTTTCTAGAATTAGGGTCGTGATTGGCCCTGAAGCTAGATAAAGGATGGGGTTGTAAAATAATCTAACTACCATAAGCCATTCAAATATTGAATGAGTAGTGTGGATATTGAGGATTCATAGAGCTAACCCCAACTAAAATGGGATTGAGTTATAGTTGACTGATTGGCACTAAAGCCCATTTCTTTGTTGCGTTTTCAAGAAATTACAATAGACCCTTGTGGTCCGGACCTTCGCCGGGAGCTTAGCGGGGCTTTTAATTTGAGGAACAAAATTGCTGCATGAATAACTAAAAGTTTCAGCAGATGCATTGTTTAAGAATATGAAATAACAACATAGAAGCTAATACTGCTACAGCTAATAGGAATCGAGGAATGAAAGCAATTAGCAAAACAATAAGGCTGAAATAGTTGCTTTAGCTCAAATTAAAGTAAATATTCGGTCATAAAGAAGAGCTTAAAGCAACTATTGATCATCTGGGCAATGGGAAAAACTTAAAAGAAAAAAATTAAAAGAGAGAAACCCCACTAAAGAAAGCATAAACCCCAGATAGATGAAACAGTTTCTTACACTCGGGATGGTTGACAGAGGAGCCTACCGGTTGGTCGAAGAAGGTGACAGAGATGACTTCTCTTTTCCTTTTCACTATTTTTGTGCTTTCTGAATCACAGCATCTTTTCGACTTAATACTTGATTAGAGACTGTTGGGCCTACATGGTTTTAGTCGGACATAAGCTGGTCCAACTGTATACCCGGCCCAATTTTTACTACTTACATTACATTCGTTTCATTGGCATTGTAATTGTATATACGTGAGAACATTATGGAAATAAGACAAGGGCATATATTTTCGTCTCTCATTTTCTCTCTTCTCTCTCTCCTCGTTACTGTTAGGATTCATCCCTCTTTCATTTCTTTCACAAAATATGAGATGGTATCTCACATTAACATAGTATCAAAGCCTAAAATCAGTCAATTTTGGCTCTGCACTTCTCATCGATAGTAGTTTTATTGGATTCCACCGGAGATTTTGTTCCGTCAAATTTTTGGTATTTTCATTTCTGCTGGGTATTCGCTGATTTCTGGGATTTAAGTGCTCGTTTTGCAATATTCTGCGGTGTTTCTTCAACGCGTTTGGGTTAGTATACAGTAGTGGTGGTGTTTTGCTCGATCGCCATTCAGTTGCATATTGTTGCTGGTTTTCTCAACAAATTTCAAGGATTTTACTCATTTAGGTCTTAAAGGAGGACGATAACTCCTTTTATCACAGTAATATCGATCGAATTTGTTCTACTTAGGGTTTATCTGTAAACTTCACATTTCTAGGGTTTTCATTATGGGTAGTCTTGAAATAAGTTCATCTTCTACGATTGGGGGTTTTGATGACTTCACTATCCCTATCTCTCATCCCTTTTATGTATATCCTTTGGATAGTCCGAGTACTCATCTAGTGTCTCCCCCTTTGATGGAGCTGGTTTTGTCAATTGGCGTAAAAATATGTTGACTGGACTTTCTGCCAAAAATAAGCTAGGTCTCATTACTGATAGAATATCCAAACCACAATTTGATTCACCTTAATATCAATTTTGGGAAAGATGCAATGACATGGTGTCACGACCCAAAATCTCACGTGTCGTGATGGCACCTATCTCAATACTAG